AAGGGGTGTGACAGGACCACACCAGGAAAGGGATTCTAAGGCTCTCCACCCAGAATGTGTTGGTAAATGTGTAAATACTAGATGGCAGAGAGAAAGTGCCAGGCTCAACATGGATTTCTTCTCAATAAATGATGTTCTTGGTCTGTGGTCACAAATTTTATACACATAGGAATTTCTCAGAGATCTATTAAAAAGTCAGTCCTGCTGCAGTAGATGCAAAGCAGGGCATGAGTCTGCATTTTTAACCAGCTCCTAGGTGATGCCAACTCTGCTGGTTCACAGATGGTAGCAGTGTCCTGACCAGCCCAACAGAGGACTGTTCAGCTTTGGAAAGGGCAGGGTGTGCTTTCTAAAATTCATTTTTATAATATTGAACACAATTCGGTTCATATTCAAGGTGCAGGAGTTTTGCTTTTGTGTTGTTTCCCTGACAAGATGTTATCTTATCTCTTTGGTATTAAAAACTACAGTTTATGGATGTTGACAATATTGATGTGTATTGCAATATATTCCTGCATAGATTTTCCCTCCCTCTAGCAGAAGGGACTGAGGAAGCTCCGCCCACTTCATCTACATCGTCTTCAAGCCAATTAGTTTTCATTTTTGCAAACTGTGATGGCTGAGTGCAGACACAAATCATGACACTTTCCTTTAACTTCCTCATTTGTGAAATGAGGGTGTGTCTGCAATTCTCTGGGGGTGTCTTCCAACTCCAATAATCCATGCTTCTAAGAGAATATTAAATTCTCTATATTAAAATCTCTGTGTTTTTTCTTTAATAAAGAAAGCTTTATTAAAGCTTTCTTCTCTGACAGGATAGGCAGAATGTTTACAAAGAGAGTTCAGACTTTCTGACTGGAAAAATTACTTGGGCTTTGGATGGAGCTCACAGCCAATAACAGGGACCCACCTTAAATGCAGTTTGGCCTTTTATTTTCTGGATATCTCAAAGATATTCTTCTGTCCTTCTGTCGTCTAATCCACGAAAACTAGACATAGAAAGTCTGGCACTATTATGACTGTCTTTAGCTATTTAAAGTGTCAACACTTTCAGAAAGCATTTATAACTTAACCGGGGGTGTTCATACCACACATCAAGAGGGTGGAGTACATGGTAAGACAAGTGGTAAGATAACTGGGGAGCAGAAGATCTCCTGGGATGACCCGCTGGTGGTGGCTACACACAGCTGCATCCTCATGACCCCCCTTTCTTTGGCTGTCCATGTACTCCTCATGGCAGTGGGAACTTGAAAGTCAGATGTCACCCTGCTATCAGTCAAAAGTCAAGAAGGGGACCTGGGCAGGACTCTGGAAACTTCTCTGGATCCTCAATAAAACTACAGTTTAGTAGAGGCACACTGTCCATCTCCTCTCTGAGGGGACCCACTCTCTCCCTGGAGAGTGCCCCCTTTCCTTTTGGCTGCAATTTCTTGACTGCGTCTGATAGGAACCCCCCATGTTACCTCTTCTCACCTGGGAGCAGGGAGCTTGGACAGCTCTTGATCACATGTGATGTAGCTGTATCATTTCTTTGCTATTACCCGCTCTGTATTAGCCTGTTTTCTGTTGCCAGTAACACGATACCACAGATTGGGTGACTTATAAAAAAAAAGAGGTTTATTTCAGCTCATACTTCTGGAGATCCAAGGTCAACAGGATGTATCTGGTGATAGCCTTCTTGATGGTAGAGTTCAATAGCATCACATGGCAAGAGGCAGTGTGTGTGGGGGGTGTGTGTGTGTGTGTGTGTGTGTGTCTATATTCCCTCTAGTCTCTTTCCCTCTTATAAAACCAGGAATCCATCATGGGAGTTCCACCTTGATAACCTTATCTAATCTAATACTTAGAGGTCTCACCTCTAAACATCAGGGTTAGATTCAGTTTCCTTTCTTTTAATACTTCATGATAAGGATCAACTTTTAACACATGAAGCCTGGAGGGGGGCACTCAAACCATATCCAAACCATAACACTCTTGTATTCAGAACTTTGTGATTGTGGTACTTCTCAAGTCGCCTTGTTTGCTGTTGAGTGTTTTAAATATTCCCAAAGACTGGCTAAGTCATTGTGCAGACTTCACATATAAGTGGAGCTGGAGACAAAGAGAGAAAAAATTGGCTTCTTGACCATGGATTCAGTGGGAATGAATGAAACAAAATGCCACTGACTTTGGAAATCCAACCTCACAATCTAGTCCTTTTTATTAGTGATGCTTTATAATTATATACAATAGTGGTATTCATGATGCCATATTCGTATATGTACATGACATAATTTGATCAATCTCTTTCCCCAGTACCTTCCCTTTCCCTCTCCTCCTTTTCCCCTCAGATCCCCTTATTCTACTCTACTGGTCTCCCTTCTATTATTATTGTATTTTTAAAATTAGTACATTATAATGATAAATAAAACTCAGATTCATTGTGGTGTATTTGTACCTGGACATAGTGTAATTTGGTTGGCTTCATTCCCCATGCCCTCCCGTCCTCCCTTCTCCCTCCTTCTTGATCCTTTTCCTTTACTCCATTTATTTCCCTTCTATTTTCATGAAATCCCGTTTTTATTCCATTTTATTTTCTCTTTAGCTTATGAGAGAAGACATTCAACCCTTGACTTTCTGGGTCTGGTTTATTTCACTTAGCATGATGTTCTCTAGTTTCATCCATTTACAGAAAATGACATACTTTCATTCTTTATGGCTCAGTAAAATTCCAGTGTGTTTACATGAAACATTTTCTTTATCCATATCCATTTTCTTTATGTTGACAGGCACCTAGTCTGGTGTTATAACTTGGCTATTGCGAATTGTGCTGCTATAAACATTAGTATGCATGTATCACTATAATATACTGATTTTAGTTCTTTTGGATAAATACCAAGGAGTGGCATAGCTGGATCATGTGGTGGTTCCATTCCTAGGTTTTCTGAGGACCCTCCAAACTAATTTCCATAGTGGGTAGATTTACGAAGCTGGGACCTTCCAGGAATCTGAAGCAGTATGAAGACACCCCCCTCCCAACTCCAATTCTTGAAATCAGGTCAGACAGATTTTACACATGTAACTTAAAGTGACAGAAATGAGTTGATTGAAGGGATAGGAAAAAGAGAAAAGGGACACTCTCAGGGAGAGAGGAGAGGGACAGTGTGCCTCTGCTGTACTCAAGTTTTATTGGGAATCCCAGAGAAGTTTCCAAAGAGCCCCACCCAGGTCTACCTCTTAACTTCTGACTGACGGTGGGGTGACATCACGCTTTCAAGTTCCCACTGCTATGACAACACTAGAAACTGGCCTATGCTGACCAGTTCCAATTGGCTTCTTAACCATAAATTCTTACAAATTTAATGGTTAGGAGGAATTATCCTAATATCCCTAAGTTTTGGGATCTGGTCTATGAAAGGGGTCACAAAAATCTCCCCTTCAGGGTAACTTGGGTTCCTCTTATTCCAATATTTCCTGCCTGCATTTCTTTTGCAGTTAACAGGTAGTTTGCTGAAGAATATAACAAATCCTGTCCACTTATGCCAAGTATGGTTGCAGGTAAATTGTGTTTTGGAAAAGAAAGCATGTGGGGGTCAGCACAGTGGGCCCATTTTATAGAATTATTCCCTTAACATGTTCCCATCATTCGCACGTGCCTGTCCTCTAACAGCTTTACTCAATTTGCAGCCCCACCAGCAATGTATGAGTGTACTGTTATCCCCACATCCTCATCAGCATTTAGTGTTACTTGTATTTTTCATTCCTGCCATTCTAACCAAATGAGATGAACTCTCAGTGTTGTTTTGATCTGCATCTCCCTGAGTACTAAAGATGTTGAACCTTTTTTTGGAGGGGCGGGGGGCGGAGGCATGCTGGGAATTGAACCCATGGCCCTGTGCATGCAAGGCAAGCACTCTACCAACTGAGCTATATCCCTAGCTCCCTGAACATTTTTTTGATATATTTGTTGTCCATGTGCATTTCCTCTCTTGAAAAATGTCTCTTTGGTTTATTTTATCATTTATTGATTGAGTTTTTTTTTTTTAGTTCTCTATGTATCTGTTCCTCTTTCTTTATAATAATTAGTTGGCTAGATGGAAAGAAATAAAAGTAGACTCCAGGTAGGCAGTAGGCTAACCATTTGGAACATTCAGCTAGATTTCCTCACTTTAAGTCATAATTTTTAAGAGCTTCCCTGCTCTCTAATACCTAGGATAATCTCATAAAGCAAGATCTCAAGATTTAGTATTCAAGTCCTAGGGAGAACAATCTGGAATAACTGTCAAAATCATAAAGTCATATCCTCTTGTTTCTGCTATTCTAATTTTAGGGATTTTTTTTCTACAGCAATACTTGATTGTGCATGAAATTATGTATGTTTTGTTTGTGACATGGTTGGTGATAGCAATATATTGGAAACAACCTAAACATTCATTAAAGGGATCTGGGTAAGTAAATTAGAGTACTCTATGTAAGAGTAAGAAAGAACAAGGAAGCTTTATGTGCCCATATGGGAAGAACTTTAAGATATGTTGTGTAGTGACATTAACCAGATTCAAAACAATGAATATGTCCAATTCTGTAAAATGGTGGTAGAAAGCAGGAAAACACATATTTGTATTTACTTGCTTATATGTTAAAAAGTATCCTAGTATACAAATGAAGGAACTCATAACAGTATAACAGTGGTCACCAGTTTGGGGCAGGGGGCAGGGTGCTGAGAACTGTGAAGGCAAGGAACAGTGATGTTCATTAACTTTTCCATGCTTTTAGTTTTGAACCATGAGACTAGCTTACTTATTCAAAAGGTAAATGCATATGTTAAAAATGTAACAAAACAAAAAGCTCCTGGTTCTGGGGAATCACCTGGGTTGCTATTTTAAATGAAGAGTTAGGCCACAACCCCTCTTGTTCCAAGTCAATAGGAGATTGGAGAACTGCATTTAACAAGTAGCCTGTTTGATTCTAATGTAGATGGTCAGGGGACCAAGGAACTGAAGGACACACAGCCACAGACTGCATTCATGCAACGGCTACTTTTTATTGAACATTGGATACATGCATTTGTCCATTTCACAAATTAGACTTTATTACATTAAGGAATAGTTCAATTTATTATCATCTATGACTTGAACATTCAGCTTATTTCACTGGATTTGATTCAGTGTCATACAGTTCATACACGATGTGATAGATGCTTTGGAAACACTTCTTGAAAAATAAAAATTCAATCAAAGAGCACACTTTATACAGAGAGTTGTACATGGCCACACAGTTAAGTTTGCACATTTACAAGGATCTGAATCATTCATAGAACTATTGTGAATTTCTTATAAATAATTCATTTGTCCAAGGAGTCTAGGCAAAGCCAAACCATGACATTATTTAAACTAAGTACCACACCTGGAACTTGTTCTGAGTTATTTAACAGAGCACATTTTTCAAGGCAATAAATATTTATAGTTAATAGTAACAAGTACAATTATAATTTACAAAATGTGTCTAATATTTATAACAAAACACAAAATGACACTAAAGAAGTTTGTGCCATATATTTTTACAACTTGCTGAATTGACTGCTTCAACATATTATTGTATCACCCAAAACCCAGCCAACTTTAATGCAAGAAAGGTCATGTTCAAATCAATAGAGACCAGATTAGAAAAAAAATAATAATTTCTTTAAAGAAAATCAGTTTTATCTTCCTAATGCTGTATTATCATTGACAATAGGTAAAATTCAAGCAAAGTGATGAAAAATTTGGATTCACAACAGGCCCAAGTTATATAATGTATTTTAAATACTGAAATCCTGAGTTATGCAACATTTTCAAGCTTGTCTGGGAGTTAATGAGGTTTTGAATGCATGAGGTTTTATTGTCCATTAAAATGATTCTTTTAAAAGACCATAAAATTATGAGAGTCCTTTCATGTCATTATATGACTCTGGGAGTGAATTTTAAATTTGAGGAAAAATCTTATCTTCTGGAAAGGTGCAAACCCTCAGAGAGGGCAGAAACATGGTGATATCTGGGTTTGTGACAGGACATCTAGGCTAGGCACTCAGATTTCCTAATTCCATACCCAAGTTCCTTACCTGACCCAGTAGTTTAGGAAGTATTTTCTAGTAGAGGCTATTTGTGTAGCTTGGGTCCCCAGACTTCAAGAACACATCCGCTGGCATATTTTAGTTTTGTAGAAAGGAAGAGATGTAGAGGGTGGTTCTACCTTTTCCTGATACTTTTTCTCCAATTAACTCTGATTCAAAGATGGATGATGTCTGGGTTGGCTATTCTCACTAGGACCTTCACCCAAGGTTATTTTCTTTTCCATCAGTCACAGAACCAAGTGGGAAATTCTTCCCAGGACTTCTGCTTGCAACTGAATTGTGTCTCTGGGTGGAGATGAGGGTGCAGACATCTAAACTAACCTATGTGTTTCAATGTCCTTTGTGTGTATTCTTTGACTCTATCCCTAGCGCAGGCCTCTGGACAAAATCTAGAAAAGGGACCAGAGCTTTCTATTTAGTACTGTGAACTGAATATGTCACACAGGCTGGATTGGGGAATTAATGCTGAGCAGCGGTATAGATGAGGACTTGAGAGATTTAGGTCCACGTCTGTATTCTGTCATTCAACTATTCCATGTGACGTAGGATGGTTAGGTAATATCCTTGAGCCACAGCACTGAACTTGGCCCATTGTCAGTGCTTGCTCAAGTTAAGTCCCTTCTTTCCCAGCACTTCCAGAACCACAGTACTTCAATTCTGCTTTTAGAAGAATGTACATATTCATAGCCTGTGTTTTTGCTCCCAAGGATTCCACCCTTCTGTGTCTTTGTTTTTTGTTTTTTTCAGTACTGGGATGGAACCCAGGGCCTCATGCATGCTATATCTTCAACCTCTGGTCATTCCATGTCACTATTTTTTTGTAACATGAAATGTTGTTCCCACTAGTATGCCTCTCCTGAGACAGTCAACAATGACCCTGTTTATTCCCTTGTGCCAAGTTAAAGAGACTCACTTTGGGGGCAACAGAACACCCTATAAATCAGCGAATCAATGATTAGCACTGTTCTTCAATATCACAGAACAGGTCATGACAAGGAAACATGTTTAGTTCACATCAAAACAAAATGAAATCAGATTAAATCGAACCTGATGAAATTGTGTTTTCGTAGGCCAAATATGATCTAATGTTGACAATTTCAGGTATTAACCTCATAGTTCCACAGGCCTTTTAATCTAATGGTCACTAGTAAGTGAATTTAATATTTATAAATTCCAAAGTAAATGATATAAAGCAGCTCTTTGGCCAGCAGGGAAGCCTTGGATTAGATGAGGTAATGAGTGCCAAAGTGCTTTATAGACTACGTAACGTAATAAACACTAGGTAAATGCCAAGTATTCTTTTGAATTCGTCCTAAACATGTAGTATTCTAACCCAAAGATTCTTACCTTATATATTCACTATATGCACAACACTGAAACTTTTTTTAAAAATTATATAAATTACACAGAATGCATTCCTTTTCTGCACCCCTCCCCACCCATACTGGGTGGAACCCAGGGCCTCACACAGGCTAGGTGAGTGCTCTATCACTGAGCTACATCCCCAGCCCTCACTGAATGTGTTTCTTTCTTTCTTTTTTAAATTTATTTTTTAGTTGTAGTTGGACACAATACCTTTATTTTATTTATTTATTTTTATGTGGTGCTGAGGATCGAACCCAGGGCCTCGCACATGCTAGACGAGTGCTCTACCCCTGAGCCACTGAACGTGTTTCTAATATGAGGTTTCACAAGAAAAAGTTTGCTCTTAATGCGCTATTCATGTTGATTCCTCTGGATATATTCAGATGGAGTTAATGTGCTCCTCTCTCCCCTGGCAAGGGGTATCTTTGAAGACCAAAATTTATAATAAGGGATTGCACTATATTAAAGTTGCTATGTATTTGTGTTGGGGGAAGAGGTGGAGCGACCATCCAGATACAGAATACGGAAGAGCATGTCAAGGCTTTGCTCTATTAAATAACACACACAGGACCTGGTCCTGCAAGACTGAAGGATTCCTTTCGTTTTTAGCTATTAATCTATTATGAAAATGTGGTCAAAAGTTAGACAAATGTGCAAGATGTGGTCCATTCCTTCCAGAAACCCCGGGCTAATTCCAGCCTACTCTCTAACAACAGCTTTCTCCTGGTGGGGATGTGAAGGACACAAATGGCCAGAAAGCTTGTGTCCTTCCCATTTTACCATGATACAAGTGGATATTATTCATTCGATTCTCATAGAGTCAGGTCCCAGGATGATTGTTTCTATCTAGTGCCTGGGAACAGTGACTTAGCCACCTTTTACTTCACAGATGAGGATGCCACTAACATGTCATCCCCAAAGCTAATCTTTATTACTAGAAGCTATGTGATATGTGAAGAGACCCTGAAATCAGTAACCAACTGCTACACTTGGCACAAATGAGCACTTTATAACCCGAGTAGGCCCATGTCCTAGAGTCAAGTTCGTTTATTTCTTTTCAATGTATATTTTCATAACAAGATGAGTGTGGATCATCTGCTGCAGCCTCTAATTTATTTACCTAAGGCATCACCATCTTCCAAGATGAAACCACATTGTTTTGTAGGGCAACAAGGGAGATCCAGGACTTGCTAATTCAGAAGGCCAGATTCAGTGGGGAAGCAAGAGCAGCCAGAAGAACAGGGAATCATAAAAGCATCGCTAGGGAGGGGCTTTGTCCATGCTAAGCAGGGACAATCATCTTGCTGGGGAATATCGCTCCCAATAGCAACTGTGCCTTCCCTATCCACAGCAGCCAACAGTGGGAAGATGGCTTTGTTTATTGCTTAATCTATCACTGTTGAACTGCTTGCCTCAGGGAGGCTCGATTAAAGATAGATTGAAAGGTAGTATCTGTCAATTGAATAAACACAGATGGTTTTCCACAGCAAAAATTGATTTTTTTTTTCTCACCAAAGACATAAGTGCTAAACGTGATTATCTTTGGAAGCCAGGCATGAAATGTCTCAGCTCCAGCCCCTGCCACACTTTGCCCTGGCAGAGAGGTGATATATATAGGTCTTAGAACGCTCTCATGTGATTTTAGGTTTTCAGGGGGAAATACAACCTTGATTTCCTAGAGAGGCCCAATTAAGTCATTCCTACCAAGAAGGTCTGAGTTAAACCTTGAGCTAATTCACAAAATGGTTTTACCATTTCTTGGTCACTGGTTGGCAAAGATCTCCTCCAATGTTTTTATTTATTTAAGAGTCTCAAGGAAGTAACAAGATTTGCCTAAAGACACATAGACCTCAATCTTCTCATTCTTTTTCCAGAAGCTTGGGAAGAGATGTTATGATGTTAACTGAAGGAAACAAGGAGAAGAGTCCTGCTCCCAAAATGTCTCTGGAAGCAGGCAGATCAGAAATCCTCAAACTAGCACCCAGAATTCCAAATACTGGAAATCTATGCACCCAGAATACTATATATGTTAGCAACGAACTAGGCCTGAACTCATTCACATGCAAAGGTTTTGAAGGAAGCCAAGGGCAAAATTTTGGAACAGTAGTTCAGTATAACAGATGTATGGAAGTTGAAGGGTGACTAGGAAGAGTATCCTTTGAATAATGAGAAGATTGAGCAATATGTTTTACATTTCTTTCAGCTCTAATTCCAAAACATTGGGCATTCATACAAATGATTCCAAGGAGTCCCTTACACAGTAGAATGGCCTGTCTCCTTTGATACCACCAGTGTGCACATGAGTATGAAATGGTGGTTGAAGGAATTCCAAAGAGTTATTGTTGCAAGAGATGCAGAAATAGGGCAGCTGTAACAAGTGAGCTACAGTTGGGCATGGTGGTATTCACCTGTAACCCCAGTAACTCAGGAGACTGGGGCAGGAGGATTGCAAGTTTGAGGACAGCCTCATCAATTTAATGTGGCCCTAAGCAATTTAACAAGACCCTGTCTCAAAATTAAAAATTAAAAGGGTGGGGAGCAGGGCTGTAGCTCAGCGGAAAAATGCCCCTGGGTTCAATTTCCAGTACCGAAAAAAAAAAAAAAAAACTATATAAATGCTTTCAACATAGAACTAGAAATAATGAAGAAACTCAGATAATTTTGCAATGGAGGGATTTAGCACTGTCTTCTCATTTTGGAGATGAAAAGAAAATGAATTTAGGGAAGAGAGTTTTTTTGTTGTTGTTCGTTACTAGGGACTGAACCCAATGGTGCTTTACCACTGAGCCACATCCCCAGCCCTTTTTTATTTTTTATTTAGAGACAAGGTTTAGCTGAGTTGCTTAGGACCTCATTAAGTTGCTAAGGCTGGCTTTGAACTTGCCATCCTCCTGCCTCAGCCTCCCTAGTTGTTGGGATTACAGATGTGTGCCACTGCACCTGCAAAGAAGGGAAATTGATAGCCAAAATCATATAGCTAGAGGCAGAGTTGGGACAGCAAGACATCTTGCTTTTTTGTGCTACATTGTCTGTCTTGCTTTTCAAACTGTGCAGTGTCATTATGGGTTACCAAAAAAGGCGTGGTGTGTACAGTAGCACATCAGGCCAGGTAGAAAGCAGCAGTGAAGAGGCTTCGCTCCAGCTAATACAATTGTAAACACAGGTCTTTACAACGGTCTTAGTCTTAACTCTCAAAGCTCCACAGAAAATGAGTGCTTTCCAGTATCAAGAGAAAAAATCTTTTCAAATGTGCCAGGTGGAAAAGATTGCTGACTGTTTCTATCTCACCTAGGGAGAGGAAACCTTAACTAAAATTGCCAATTGCCTTAGGGTGCAAGGGATACACATTAGGGCACATTTGCAGAATTTGGATTCATCTGAAATTGAGTTACATGGTTGCAATCTGTCAGAATTGGCCTGTCTTTGAGTCAAGAAAAACTGGAATCAGGGTTTCAAAAGTAAGATAGCCCAATCATTTTTACAGCCAATTTTATGCACTTAGAAAAAAAACTCAGTCTAGTCTTTTTTCTGCACATGGGCTGTTTCATAAATACTCCTCTGAAGTGGAAACAAATCTGTACCTGTTTTTAAAATCTATTCTTAAAGGTAAGCCCCCTACAACTTTCTTGTACATATTCAGACAGAAATATATGTTATTGAAATTGTATTAATTTGCCCCCACAAACTTGTAGGGGAAGCATACATTAAATATAAACATGTTTCTATTTCTACTCAAATATAATCCCTTCTTTCTGATATTGGAAGCAGTGCTTCAATGTAACAGCTAAATCTACGTGAATACATGTGGCTCAAAATCTATGTACTGGGCTGGAAGTGTGGCTCAGTGGTAGAGCATTTGCCTGGCATGCCCAAAGCCCTGGGTTCCATCCCAAGCAGTGCCAAAAAACAACAACAAAACAAACAAACAAAACCTGTACACCAAGAATAAATATCATCCTTTATGCACTTATAAATATTTTAAATATTTGAGGAATTGACAGCATGGTCAACTTTTTCCACAAGAGGATTTATCTTCTATGGTAGAATGGCACTATGAGAATTAAAGTTGGGTGATAGTCACAATGTGAGATATCACTCTATAGCCACACATTGATCTTTACATATGTGAATGTGTTTGATTGTATTTTTGCTTTAAAATTATGTGTTGGGTATTCCTCCTATTCCTCGGTAACATTTTTTTAAAATCAATATTTAGAGAGGTTTTTTTTTTTCCTATTTCCATGCGTGGGTAGTTATTCAAATTGAGGTTTGTCTTATCTTAAACTGGCTTGCAGTGCTATAAATCTGGAGAGCATTGTTCATATATGAGGCTTTTCATAGGGTCTACTTTTCAGGTTAGGGATGTAAATAAAAGTTCTTCAGTTTATGTATTACAGATATTCCTGGAAAAGGAATTGAGTCATATTTTAAAAGCATTAGCTTCTGCTTAAAGAAATGACAAGGTGAAGTTTCCCAAAATAGGCAGTCAAGGCCTGATTTCCCTGTTTTATCCATCTAGGAGGCCAGATTGTTTCTGTGACTTAATTGGCCATGCCTATGTATATCAGGTCTTGATGCTTCAAATAATAATTTCTTGTTTGTTTCCTTTTCTTAAAAGGGGAGGGGTTTGCTTTCCATGCACAGATTCATTTACAAGTTGAAATGGGAAAGCTAAGCCTTGGTAACTTACTTAGAAACACAACAGTGATCCATTTGGGCCCCTCCCCACCCACCTACACCAGTCAAGAGCCCTCTGGAGGGTACAGAGACAACTACAGATTCAAGGGCTGGGGCTTCTGGCCGGCCATAAAGTAAAGCCAGGAGTCCCTAGGGGGTCAAGGTCAAGGGTTACTCTAAACATACCCCTCGTGACAGATGTTTCCATTGATCAGGCTGAAGGTGGCCACGGAGGGGTTGGTACTCTTGAAGGAGGTCATGCAGGTGGTACTTCTGCCAGTGCTGTGGGAACGGCTCATCAGGCCGGGCCGGCAACAGAGGAGCTGGGTGTTGAACTGTTTCCTGAAAGTCTTGCTTAGCAGGTAGAGGGCAAAGGGGTTCACGCAGGAGTTGGTGAAGGCCAAGAGGCGGGCACAGATACTGGTGACAAAGTGGAGCATGGAGGTATCCACTTCAGAGTAGTGGTAGGAACGGTACAGGTAGATGACATGATTGGGGAGCCAGCAGAAGGCGAAGAGGCCCACAAACACCAGCACTGTCTTGGCAAGCCGCTTCCGGGATTCCATCTAAGGAGAGAGTCACATGGAGAGTGAAGAGGGATCAGGGGCCAGTGTCAGAGGAAAGGAGATGAAGATTCAGACACAGGCAGGGAAAAGCAATTAGCTCACAAAGCCACAGAAAAGGGGTTCAATAGGAGAGGACAAGAGAATCCAAAAATCGAGACAAGAACAAACGAGAGAGAGAGAGAGAGAGAGAGAGAGAGAGAGAGAGAGAGAGAGAGAGAGAGAGAGATATTCAGCAACAGAGATGGACAACAGGAAGGAGAAAGCCACAAGGCAGAATAGAGTTAGAACATGCTGCTGAGAACAGATCTTTAAACAAAGTTGATTACATGCTTGAATGGATTGCACAATGAAATTCTAGTAAATGCTCTCTTTTTCCTCGGGAGAGCAGGGGTGCAGTTTATCAGCCATACGACTTTATGCCTTTCTTGGCTCTACAGTTAATAATTTCTTATTCCCTCCAATGCTCAAAAAAGCAGCCAGCTTTGTTCTTCCTCACTGGCTAAGTCAAGATAACTGCCTATTATTATTTTTAATCTCAAGTTATTTCTAGGCTTTTCTATATAGGAAGGTAATTAGGCGAAGTGGGATGAACACCTCCTTTTGCTCCCAGCTCCCTGTCCTACCTCAGGGAGAAATTTGTTTCTCATTTAAGAATTTGGGGTACACTAGATGTTTGTCACTGAGAAATTTTTCAAGTAGGGAGATAGTTTCATTAACGGCTGTCACTCTTCCCTGGTAACTGAGGCAAGAGAGAGAAAGGAGAGAGAGAGAGAGAGAGAGAGAGAGAGAGAGAGAGAGAGAGAGAGAGAGAGAGAGAGAGAGAAAAGGGAGAAAGGGAATTTTGAAGGGATTTGAAAGGTGAGGTCTCCAAGTGAGAGTTATATATCGGGGGGAGGTACTAGAGATTGAACCCAGGGTGCTTTACCACTGAGCAACTTCCCCAGCCCTTCTTATTTTTTGTTTTGAGATGGGGTCCCCCTAAGTTGCTTAGGGCCTTGCCAAATTGCTAAGGCTGGCCTCAAACTTGCAATCCTCCTGCCTCAGACTCCCAAGTCCCTGGAATGACAGGCATGCGCCACCACTTCTGGTCAGCTATTCATTTAAATTAAGTAGGGAATCTTTCTACTTTTCCATCATAAATATCACATGATCTGCATCTGGGTTAGAATGCAAGAAGAACTGACAGAGACAAGAAAGTCAGAGCCCCTAGTGTCTACCATATGTACCTCAAAGATGAAATTTGGTGGTCATGAAGGATTAGGGGTGAATCTAACACATAAGGAGGACAGCCTACATCCTAGGAACTCTAGGTCTTAGATGCTCCTTAACTTTACAATACTAGGGATTATTACTCTACAGCAGAAAGAAAGAAAACCGAGGCTCAGAGGGTGTGAGTGAGCCATGAAATCTGGCTTTGAGCCAAATCAGTGAGCCAGTGAGCCTTTCTCAATCAAATTACATCTTTTTCTTTTTTTTTTTTTTTTTTGGTACCAGGATTGAACCCAGGGGTGCTTAACCACTGAGCTATATCCCCTGCCCTTTCTATACTTTGAGACAGAGTTGCTGAGGGTGGCTTTGAACTTGCAATCCTCCTGCCACAGCCTCCTGAACTGCTGTGATTACAGGTGTGCGCCCCCATCTTTTTCTTGAACTGACCTCATTTTCCTGCTCCCTCTGCTTTGCCTCTACGCAGGAACCCTCTTCCTAGCCAAGCAAATGTGAATGAAGTTTAAAGAAGCACCTGACTGCAGATCACTCATGTCATTTTATTGCAAAACCAAGTAACATGGCAGCCTAAACACTGTACTTGTCAGTGGGGTCCAAAAACAAACAACAACCAAAAAAAAAAAAAGCAAGGGACCACATCCTCAAGGAAGAAGTAAGACTCTCCTAAGTACTCACCTGCTTCTTGACATGTATATTTCCTTCCACAGGCAGATTATAAGCACTCTGGATCAGGTTTCTGGCAATAAAATAATAGTAGACGGAGATGATCGACAGTGGAATGATGTAAAAAACCAGAAAGGAAGCCATGGAGTGGATTTTGGGGTGCAGATCATTAGAGTGTGGATATGGGGCACAGCTAATGAAGGTCTGGTTGGTGCTTTCCTCATGGAAAGGATGGAGGTCAGAGAACACAGCCTCTGGGATGGCCAGCAGCATGGAGATGATCCAGATCAAGGCGGCTTTGATGCAGATCTTCAACAGGGCATGAGATGTCTGAATATCCATTGGCCGGACAATGGCTTTGTACCTGGAGCAAGAAAGAGGGAAAATTCTAATGGGAGCTCATAACCCACTTGAATCAAAGTGTGAAATATGATATATCAAGAATTATGTAATGTTTTGAACAGCCAACAATAAAAAATTTAAAAAATAAAAAAATAAAAAATAAAAAAAAAAGAGGGAAAATTCTGCAGAAGTTGCCTACTGTCATTACGGATGCCAGGGCCGCGGGGACTGGGGTGTGCAAGTCAGACACCGAGGTATAATACTGAAGGAGGTGCTCACTTTCAGGTTCATGAAACTCCCGACTGAATTCACATGGCCCTGACCATGAGTGGCTTCTTCAGTTTGACACCCCAAGCACGTGGCTTGCCTCATCTTAGCTGGGCTCTGAAGGATGCCTTCCCTTTTCCAGCAGTAACATTTGGCCCACATTCTTCCTCTTTCCTTCTCTCTTTTAGTTCAGAAATTTTCCTTTTTAAAATCTTTCTTTAATTGGCACATAAAATTGCACGTTTATTGTGCATAACATGATATTTCAAAATATGTATACACGGTGGGATGGCTCCATCAAGCTAATTAGCATATGCATCACATCACATATCTTTTGGTTTTATTAGTGCATTATAGTTATACATAATAGTTGGGTTCATTCTGATATAATCGTACATGCATGGAATTTAATTCACTCCATTTCAATCCCTGGTGCCCCCTCTTTCCCTTCCCTCCTCCCTTCCCCAGCCTCCTTCCTCTATTCTACTGGTTGACCTTCCACTCATTTATTTATTTATTTTTAATTGGTACTTTATAGATGTTCATAAAGGCAGAATTCACTGGTATATATGCATGCACATAGGGTAATATTATCAATTTCATTCTGCATTTCCTTCTCTTTCCCCTCCCTCCACCTTCCCCTTCCATCTCCATCTTCTACTCCACTGATCTTCCCTCTATCTTTATGACATTCAACACTCCTCCTTTTTTTCCCCCTTACTTTGCTTTAGGTTCTGCATATGGACTTCTTTTATTTGCAGTGCTGGGGATTGAATCTGGGGCCTTGCATATGCTAGGCAAGCACTGTACCACTGAGCCACATCCTTAGCCCTACATATGGACTCTTTGTGATTTTTAAGAATATAATACATTGTTATTAAGTAGAGTCACCATGTTGTAAAATTCACAGTCTCTCTTGCTTTTGAGAATACTTCACAGAAAAGCTGATGTTCCTTTCATTTTTCTCATTAAATCACAGAAATTAATAATGAAGCACATTACTGTTTAAAGAGACAAGGAGGTTGGTGTATCTTTGGCAAAAGCTTCATTTTGAAGATTCAAATAGAGTTCAAGGAATCTTAGGTCATCGAGTATTTTAAATATGCCCCTTTTTTTCTTTCAAAGGATGTGGAATTTCTACTGAAATTGTTTTATCCAGGAAGAGCCCTGTAATTGTCAAATTAATCATTCCCTTGCCCCCATACTCTTTCAGTGTTATCTTCTCTTGAAGCATTTAGGTCTTTACTGGTTTGTGAGCCATTTATCACAGATCAAGTGCTCTGGGAAGCAGAAACAGGCATGCAGTTAAGAGTACCAAAGGTTTATTGGGCAGTAATACATGTGAAAGGAAAAGGGAGAAGGACAAAGGGGAATGAAGAGAAGGGGGGATGGGAATGGGAAAGACAATAGAATGAATCAGATATAACTTTTCTATGTCATATATGAATACATGACCAGCATAACTTCACATCATGTAGAACTAAGATTGGGAAGTTATACTCCATGTATGTATGATATGTCAAAATGCACTCTACTGTAATGTATAACTAAAAAGAACAAATAAAAAATTTAAAAATTAATAAAACAAAAAAGAAAAGGGGGAAGGAAGCAGGATTGGGCAGAGGTCGCTGTCAGACATAATGCAGATGTCACAAGGTCTACACCTGCAAGGATGACCAACCATCCAGTTTGCCTGGGAATTTTCCAGAGTGAGCACTGAAAGGCTTACATCCTAGGAAGATTATCAGTCCTAGCAAACCAAGATGGCTGGTGGCCTTATACCCACCTAATAGGAAGTTTGGGAGCATAGATTGCCCAGTGGAGGAGTCCTGCCTTGGGTGGAAATGGCCAGCCACTTGTCTTATCACTTTGCTTAGAGATTGGCTGGAGTCATCCAAGAACAGTGTGACTTCTGTTCCTACCTGAGTCAGTCACTTGAACAGGAGCCACCCAAGAGAGCATGACCACAGTTTGAAACCTTAAGTGGACCCTGAAAGAGCTGATGGCCTCCAACCCCCTGCAGCTGGGCACATCTCTTCTTCCAGAAGGCTGAGCAGCACGACTCCATGTCGATCACAACTCCACATCCGATGCCCAGCAAACTGGACCACCATGTATCTTGTGTGTACTTGTCTAAGAACCCACAAGAGGCTGAGCCTCTGGTTGGTGAAGAATATATCTTTCTCCACCTTGACATGCACTGGCACTGAGATACGTGCACACTCCACAAATGATTCTTTTTTTTTTTTTTTTTAAAGAGAGAGGGAGAGAGAGAGAATTTTTTTTTAGTATTTATTCTTTAGATTTCGGCGGACACAACATCTTTGTTTGTATGTGGTGCTGAGGATCGAACCTGGGCCGCACGCATGCCAGGCGAGCGCGCTACCGCTTGAGCCACATCCCCAGCCCCACAAATGATTCTTCAATGAAACGTGAGCTGCCATAAAGTGGAAGTTCACATGAGTTGGGACCAACTAAATGTGAGGCTGTTCATGCTGAAAATACTGTGTTTGAACTGGGTTCTACTTATAATATTATTTTATATCATGTACTTCAGTGAGTCTACTTATTTCTATTCATTTCCATGTTGATCAGACTCCGTTGAGCTACCAGTCTTGGATGCGCCCCGAATCCTCAGTCACTTTCCACCTGCTGGGGAAAGGAGAGAGCTCTTAAGTGGCAAGTTTGAAAAACAAGAATCTGGTTTGTATATTGGGCTCAGGGAGGTCATCTACTGTCCCTGGCTAGGGGAATGGTATGTCTAATACAACATACCAGAGTGTCAGCAAGTTCTGTATTGCTGTGGACCTAAAACATATTCTGGATAATAGCTTTATCAAATGTGGAAGCAATTATTCTGATTCCTTTATCTAGTTCTCTATTTTCAACTCAGGTAGGGAAGGCAGGGCTATGATTTACTCCATGATCTTAAAACCCAACATTTCAGAATAATACCCCAGTCTTGCTTCAATGTGCTTAATATTATCTTGTGCTTATTATTATCTTTGTAATAATATATATATATATATATATATATATATATAATCTTTATTTTATATATATATATTTATTATATTTATCTTTGTTTTATATCTTTATTTTATATATCTTTATAAATGTATATATCTTTATTTTGTTTATTATTTTTAAAGATTTTTTAAAAGATGGACACAATATCTTTACTTGATTTATTTTATTTATATATATGTGGTGCAGAGGACCGAATCCAGTGCCTCACATGTGGGACACAAGTGCTCTACCCTGAGCTATAACCCCAGGCCTTGTTTATTTATTTGTATGCGGTGCTGAGGATGGAGCTTAGTACCTCACACATGCGAGGCAAGTGCTCTACCACTGAGCTACAACTCCAGACCCCTGGCTTTACTTTCATTTAAAATAATTAGTAAAATCACATACAATTTTCAAAGATAAGTTCTATTTTGATCTAGTTTCTTTTCTATTCATTAATCATTTCAAACATTTTTATTCCTAACTTATAGTATAGGCCAGGCAGGGAATTGATTTTTTTTAATTAGAATAAATGACCATCTTTACTTAATTATTTATTTTTAAATATTTTTTTAGTTGTAGTTGGACACAATACCTTTGTTTTATTTATTTATTTGTTTGTTTGTTTTTTATGTGGTGCTGAGGATCGAACCCAGTGCCTCTCAAGTGTTAGGCGTATGCTGTACTGCTGAGCCCCAGCCCCAGCCTCAGCCCCAGCCCCGTAGAATAGGTGACCATCTTTAGCCAAAGGTATGTATAAAAAGGCATCAGTAATATGTTTGTTAAAGATAAAATGATAACTATGACTTCTATCTGCATCTTCTGGAAGATGTCAGTCATAAGTACCAGTAAGTCTCTAGTAAAGGTGACTCACTCATGCATGAGTAAACTAGAATCAACTGGTAATCCCATGTTCCTAAGTGCAAAATGCCTTGGGAACTATTGAGCTACCATTTCAAATTCATGACTTTTAAAACATAAAAGATAATACAAAAACATTTCCTTTATGGTTTTGCCAGAAAACAATTTGAATCTAAATCTAAGTAAGCCTCTAGTGATCATGACAGCCATGTTTGAACCAGTTTTCAGGAAATGTGGGAATAGAGGAACCTGTTAAATGATACTTTGAGGATAAAATCAGCCAAATTCTAAATTGGAAAATTCTGTAAAAATGATGATCCCACTGTTTTCAATAAATGCATGTCATAGAAAAACTGGGAGAATAGTTACAGACTGAGATATGTTAGACTTATCAACCCAATTCAACATGTGAACCCCTTTGGAGTTTTCATTCAAACCAAATAACTATTGAAAGATATTTTTGAGACTATTGAAAAAAATCAAACATAGATGTAGTATTTGTGCTATCAAGGATTTATTTTAGTGTATTGAGTGAGATAACGATATTGTAACTATGTGTTATATAAGAGGCCTTGTTTATTAAAGACAAAAATGTGCAATTAAAAATAAATTTTATTAAAAATTAAAAACAGAATGTAAAAATACATTGCAAGGACTTTTCTGTTATGGAATATTCATAACATATTAAAAAATCAAAAGAAATCTTTTTTAACAAGTCCTTGTTTTGTGCCAAGCAGATAATGACATCTACATTATTTCATTTATATTCCGGACAATCCCAACAGGTATGCATTATTAGCCTCATCCTGTGATGGGAAATTGAAGCTCAGAGTTGAGGAGGTGGTAGAGTCGACATTCAATTTGAGATCAATGCTTTTCAGGGTA